TAAATTCTGTAAGTTACCGGTAAGGCGTTGCAAATAATCTATGTTCGCGTCATGACGCGGATATTACCAAATAAAAATGTTTTATTGTATTTGGTACATTGATATAATTCAAGAAGATATATAAGTCTCTCAAAATATTTCAGAGTTGTTATGAAAAGGTTAAAATGGAGGGAAGATGAAAGAGAGGAAGTGATAGAATAAGGCCACAGCTTGGGCCTAATTTGTCAGAATTGATGTGTTTTGTTCGTTTTGAGACTACTGTAAAATAGTTCCTATATGATGGAAATCGAAGAGAAATATCCGTCAATTCAAAATCTTCCAACCTTTTATTGAGCACAGAATTGCATGGCCTCAAATGAGTCTACGATATGTCTCTTGACTTCAATCTGATGGACTAAGTATAGGTATTTGTTCTGAATACATGTTAGATAAGTTGTCGTATAACAGAACTATAGCCAAAAAACAAACGAAACGAAAGACATTAATTGGATTGATGAATTAAAATATTCAATTCATTCTGTATTCCCCGTATGAATATGAAATTATCATTCCTCTTCTAGATACCATCTGGACTCAGCACATATATTTAAGCAATAGTCGCTCGGAATATATGTGAGATTCTATAAAGTGGTATAAAATCACAACCATAAAAAAAAACGAAACTAAAGACATTAACAAGATGGGCGAATTCAAGTATTTAATTCATTTTGTATTTCTGTGTCATAATAGATATAATAGGTATTATATTTTAAGATATGACTAAATCATATAGTTTAACAATACAATAATAAAATCTCGTATAATGATTTAATTGTTGCTCATTGTATAAAACGGATATCATTCTTAGATTTTAGACTATGTAGGTTAAGTTATATGTATATTCACACTATAAGTCATTGATAGTATATATAATGTATCTATATTTTATTGAAATACATAAGTAATATTTGATGTATATATGTCACACCTGGTAGGTAGCTTATTGTTGTGTTATAATTTGTTATGCATGTTTATACCTATATAAATGACATGACCAGATTTAAAGGGGCAGTATTCTGATTATTATTTTATGATAGTTCCGAGACCTAGTTTGTGATGAGTGGACATTAACTGACAGGGAATCTTTAACGTACTGCCAATCATAATCTTTTAGGTACTGCCAATGGGATTCTTTAACGTATTGTCAATGGGAATCTTTTAGGTACTGCCAATGAGAATCTTTAACGTATTGTCAATGGGAATATTTTAGGTACTGCCAATGAGAATCTTTAACGAATTGTCAATGGCAATCTTTTAGGTGCTGCCAATAAGAATCTTTAACGTATTGTCAATGGGAATCTTTTACGTACTGCCAATGGGAATCTTTGACGTATTGCCAATGGGAATCTTTAACGTACTGTCAATGGGAATCTTTAACGTGCTGCCAATGTGATCTTTAACGTACTGTCAATGGGAATCTTTAACGTGCTGCCAATGGGATATTTAGCGTATTCGTGAGCAAGCACCATACTCACCGAGCCTTTTGTTCGCGTTTCAATAAATAAAATGAAATGAAATGGAGTTTAACGTCCTAATTCTCTGCCCCGACTGGACTAATGGCGTTTCAGTAAAACCACATTAAAATATACGCACTTGTTTAACTCACCCCTATAGAGTACATAACCTTATAGGTCAACAATATTATTGAATTTAAAATATAATATATACTATAATCTGGTCTCAGATTAACAATCGATAATATCATATGAAATTCAATACAACTTGGTAAGTGTAAAACTCGAATTTGTTTTGTTTGTTTTTTAATATTTGTGTATATATAGTAGCCTATAGTCAAGGGATTATTATTGGTTTTCATGTTAAGAATACAGCAGACATCGTTTAATATTATTTGAAGGTCATTTTAACGGCTCGACCTGCTTAACATTTCAACTGTTTTTTTAGATAATAGAAATGACAGAGGGAATGAAAAGGGGGGAAGTTTTGCTCAGACAGCGACACTACGACCTACTCTTATCTCCAATTACAAGCGCCAGGGATTATTTTACGTGCACGCAACATTGTACACGGGATCCCGGTTTTTCGTCTCATCCGAAAAACTAGGACGTGTTCCTTGTTAGACCCCCAATCGGAGTCCATCCTGCATCACGGACGTGACGAAACCAGGCCAACACCGGAAGTTAACCCGAGACCACCTGGTTAGCGAACCAGCGCCTTACCAAATAATTGACGAACCATTTCGCGGGGTTATTTTAATATGTTGCCAGTGATTTGTAGCTATCAAACAACATTACGTAAAGTGCATTGTGGGTCAAGTATATTTTTTTTTTTTGAAAACTTTAAACTCGCTAACCGTCATTTTGTATTTTTCGGACAATATCTTCTTATTCCTAATCCAATCTATTATAAGTAAGTAGTATCTGCGTGGTGTAATCACTACATGCACATATGACATGTTATAATATACCACACCAGACATGTTATGATATACCATACCAGTCAAGTTATGATATACCATACCAGACATGTTATGATATACCATACCAGTCAAGTTATGATATACCATACCAGACATGTTATGATATACCATACCAGACATGTTATGATATACCACACCAGTCAAGTTATGATACACCATACCAGTCAAGTTATGATATACCATACCAGACATGTTATGATATACCATACCAGACATGTTATGATATACCATACCAGACATGTTATGATATACCATACCAGACATGTTATGATATACCATACCAGACATGTTAAGATATACCATACCAGACATGTTATGATATACCACACCAGACATTAATCTAATAACTTGAACTAAAAAGGATGTATTATGGATTATTTTGTTGAAGCAGCAGACATTAAAGAACTCAAGTACTACTACTACTACATAACGATGATATCTAATCCCCCTGCAGTTTAAATGTAATTACAATGCGATATGGTATATAAGACCATTAGAATCATAAAAGACAGAGAAGGGCAGAGGGCGTGGGTGGGACTCTGCTCGTAATTAATGACATCAGATAAAGATGATATCTAATCCCCGGTTGATTGAATATAATTACAATGCGATATGGTCTATAAGACCATTAAAATCACAAAATACAGAAAGGGACAGAGGAGGGGGCGGGGTCTGCTTAGGACTACTCCTCCTAGTTATGCACCATGAATGTATTGTATGATCATGTACACAGTATATTATTCGCTATGTGTTATACCCAACGTGTAGCCTATTCCCAGGTAAATAGAAGATCCAGTTCCACTCCAATGCTAATAGTATAATGAATCACTATGTAATAATTTTGCGCGTGACAATAGCCCGCGTGACAATGCACCGGAACTACTTTCTGCACATTTAAGTTTGTCTTATTATTTATTAGACAGGAACGGCGAGATTATATGTCTGCATTGTGTTCAAACGAATTAATCAACTTAATTAATGTGTACTAAAGTCCCACAATGGAATATTCTATCCGGATATTGGGCTACACCCTTAAAGGGAGCTCCTAGTTATATTTCAGTGAATAAAAGTTAATTTTGGGAGGAAGTAACAGCCTTTATCCTAGATCAGTGCAACTATTTGAATTTCTGTGATACTTTTTCAAAGAAATACAAACATTTAGCTGATGTGCAGGGTTGGCAAAATGTCCCCAGATAACCATGTTTATAGACGCGGTTTCAACGATTATCAAATTACTCAAGCCATCCAGGAACTAAATCCTTAAAGGCGTACCTATATAACCCCTTAAAGATGCATTATGTAAGGGTCAAATCTGCTTATTACATGTTCGCTTCAAATGTTATATAAATTATTATTTAGACATTTATTCACATGCCAGGCCTATAATCAACTCTCTAGATCATTGGATGACGGAGATTAAAACGGATTCAAACCCGATCGCCATTTAATGATTTAATTTAAAATGGAGAAGCGACTCCGAGTCTCGATAAACAAGTAAAGTTGCTACGATAATAAACAATTCAGTGATAAAGTCGCGCATAATAAAGTAATTTGAAAGAAAGTGTGTCGTAGACGGGGCGGGGAGTGATTATAATTTCCCGAACCCCTGATGTATCTCTCGATAAACAAGTAAAGTTGCTACGATAATAAACAAACCAGTGATAAAGTCGCGCATAATAAAGTAATTTGAAAGAAAGTGTGTCGTAGACGGGACAGGGTGTGGTTATCATTTCTTGAACACCTGATGTCTCTCTCATAAATTCATGATATATATTGTTTACAGTATTGGTTTATTGATGTTGTTCTGTTTAGTGATAGTTTAATCTGAGTAAATCTTGTGATCAATAATGTAAGCAATAATTACAAATCTGTCTGTATTAATACCAAACACGACACAACTTATATTGATTTCCATCCACAAACCATTTAACTTTCTATAATATCTCTTTACATTAGTTACCTTGACTACCAGAGTTTTCATCCTTCATTCCAATTAGTAATAAACAATGGCGACAGTCAAATGTTGTTGATCAGTTGACGGTGATAGATATTCATCCGCACGGGGAAACAAACGACCAAAATTTCAAAAGCGCGATGTTACGTGTGGTGCTTAAAACATAAATGCCGTTAGGTTTGTGACGTTAACTATTGGTGTCCAGCTGGCATCTTTAGCATATTGGCGGATTAAATGCGAATCAAACACTTCTTGGCCAATGTGAAACGTAGGAAAAGTGATGCATATGTGTGTATTATTGTATTGGATTTGATACGGATGAAACTGAAACGCACGAGAACAAGAGAATTTGACGAATTCCCGTGTATGGATATTATTACTTGCAAGTACAGCCCTGTTGATATTTTTGTATACAATAAAACAGTGCATAGATATCGCATTATTATTACTCAAGTTTGGTGAAGTATGCATGGTCACGAACAATTACAACCTATTTTTGTCCTTTATAAATACTGAATGATAATCTTGCATGTGTTTATAAGTATAGTATCCTATATTTATCTTTTTCAGAAAGGTGTGATTACGAAAGACATGATTTGATAGATTGATTTTATTGTGACATTCGAACAAAATAGCAATCATAAATTACAAAATGGATTTAAATAGTCGAGGGTCGAAATACGGCCGTACCATGTTTTTATTAGTGGTCCTTATATCTATGCATCTCGAAACCATAGGTAAGTTTACAGAAACTGGAACGAGTATTGTCGTCATAGCTGCAGGTGGTGATAGATTATCATCAGACAAGGATTGTTTAATGAGCACCTTGTACTACTTGCTACTGGGCTCTTCTGATGGAGAATTGAACTCTGTAGCTAACCGAATATTCAGATTTTAAAATGTATGCTTCGCCATAAATCATTACATTTGATTAGATAAGCTGTATTCATGAACTTATTTGATCTTTTATCGGACCTTCTTCTTCTTTATTTTGTCACTAAAATTCAAGTTAGCGACTTAGTAATGCAGTATGTTTCTGGCCGAGCAACTGAGCCACAAACGCCCTTCATCTTGGTGTTCTTCTTTGGGGTGGCGCTCTTCGAAAAACTCCCAAGGTTCCGCCAATTCAAGTACGGCCAAAATTATACGTGGCATGCTTGTTCATTGGGCGGGGGGTCGGATGGACAAATGGTTAGCACGTGCGCGCTGTATCATAAGGCCTGTCATTAAGTCAACTGGAATGATTTCGAATCCCCGGTTGTACGTGACAAGGAGTAGGGTTGCCTTGTCAAACCTCGTGGGTTTTCTCGGGGTCCTCCGGTTTCCTCCCACTGCTAAAGACCCTTACGCGCAAGCGAATTATTGAAATTAAATTAAACCATATGTTTAGTCTCGAAATGACCTAGTTTGTGTCGAGTGGACGTTAAACCCCATCTCTCTCTCTCTCTCTCTCTCTCTCTCTCTCTCTCTCTCTCTCTCTTTGTTCATTGGGCAATTGATAAGACAATTCCAAGATGGCGGCGATGTTCAGTCCCTGCTCCGTATATATATATATTATTATTAGTGTTTTATAGCGCACAACTTCCGCGAATATGCGCTCAAGTGTGGTTTACAAAATATGGTACAGAAATACAATTTGCATTATTATCGTTTTATTTTGCAGTTGCCGCGCCAACTATTATAACAAACGGTAGAGCCGTTGAAGGCCAAAGTTATACGTTGAAATGTCGAGACCTGTCAGCCACATCTCCACTTACTATAGAATGGTCTAAAATCGGTTCATCAGAGGTGTTAACGGGAGTATACACGACGAAGGTGATAGGTGGTATTCACGAAAGCTCCTCGTCGTTAACCTTAGCTGTCTCTAGAAACGATGATTTAGCGAGGTTCGTGTGCATGACTACTGATCAGAATGGTTTCACCGATTCCGCATCAACAAGACTATACGTTGACGGTAAGATCTAAATTCTTTTACATGGAGTTTAATTCATTCCACAAAATTAGGATTTGTCTACTGCGGCACCAAATATCAGAACATATCGCAGCTGTCGTGCCGGGTTACCTACAGGCTTGGCAGGCTAAAGCCTATGACCTCAGAATCTAGGGTTCTCCGGTTAAGTTGTATACTATTTTGAAACAGGTCTATCTTACACATGCATTGACGTCTTAAACATCACCCACCCTCGGCTTTGTTCAGTTGTGTTTAAAGGACACTTTCCTCTAGTCGTGAGGGTTGGGGATTGGGAGGGGCCATTGAGCGAAATAACCTAAATCTGGCAATGCGTAGATGATTTTAGTTGCTACTTTTGTGCAGAACAGCAATTGATCTGGCAGTTTTATTACATGAAAACTGTGTTCATCTACGTGATTTGCTACGGGTTTCACCACAGTTTTGTCGTTTTTCGGGGTTAATTTCGTGATGTAACTTTAAGACATAATCAGATTTTCCTATCTGGAGGCATCATACATTGTCAACGGTCATACATTGTCAAACCCCCTGATTGGTGGATGGTAGATCTGGGTTCGTCTTGTTTAACCAATCAGCATGGATGCCAACTTGTAATTGCCATGTTTGAAACAGTTTGTAGCTCACGAAAGCAGGGCTCGATGTCTGTCGATATCCTAGGTCCAATTTATTGAGTGAAGTAATTTCTTTTCATTGATATTTGTGCACTACTCTGCCAAAAAAATTGACCAAACGCCTTTGTTATCCGATGCATTTAACATTTATTACAGTAATACCCCAGCCACCAGTAATATCTGGGCCTACAGAGGTGTCGGAAGGTGAAACTGCTACCTATAATTGTACCCGTGCAGAAGGTAGACCGCCTGCTACCATCAGTTGGAAGTGGAGTACTGGTGAATCTATCTACAATGACGTCACACCAACTGCCAATCGGGAAGCTGACAATACATTTACGGTTGTCAGCGAGGTCAGATTTGTCGCATTGCAAAGCTACAATGGCCGAAGTCTCATTTGTGAAACAAGTCATGCGCAAGAAGATCAGAAGCAAACAGATGATATAACGATTACTGTTGTATGTAAGTGAAATTTATGGAAAGTTCTTCTTAAAACGCAGCCACGGTTGCTCAGTCAATAGGGCGAAATGAAATGAAATGAGGTTTAGCGTCCTGCTTTTCTGCACTGACTGGGCTAGTGAAGTCGGGCGCACGCCATACTGTGTGCTATCGAATTCCAACTGTAAAGGGTTCTATTACGCCAACACCAGCAGCGAACTCGAGACCGTCTGGATAGTGAGCCAGCGTGTTACCCACTAAGTCACGGTGGCGAGGAGTGCGCTGGCTCGTGAACCAGGTGGTAGCTTGTTTGGTCCCCGTTGTGGTCGAAAAAGTTCTTCGGGATTTTCCAGTCTCTTTTCAAGCAAAGGCTGGAAATGTAATTGAATTTCCACGTAGGGGTCGTTAACAGTGAGAGGACCCATAGAAAACCGACAGCGATAGGCAGACGACAATTAGGTTTTTCATTTAGTAAGGTGGCGTGTGTAACAAGGTGTAGGGTCACCTCCTGGGTTTTCTATATCTTATCTACCGTAGCTGTTGATTTAATGATCTTTCACTTTTTTTGTTCCACAGATAAACCAAGTGTTACAATAGGAAAAATTTATTATGAGCAAACTGTTGGTTCATCTCTAACACTGGAGTGTACCGTTAACTCTAACCCACCAGCAACGTCTGTCGATTGGTTAAAAAATGGGACCGCCATTACAAGAAGCTCGCGGTATAGTAACGGTGACGTCAGCACACCATCACTAACTATAAATAGTGTTGTAGAAAGTGATACTGGTACATATGTATGTACAGCATCTAATAATGCTGGAACTTTGAGCAGTGATCCTACGCGTGTTGAAATCAAATGTAAGTACTGATTTTTGCACAAAAGTCTCTGTTAGTTAAATATGTTTTACACATTATAATGAAACATTGAACAGATAGGGGTTGGGGTTGTTGGTACTTTAGATCGCCCTGATGTTGTGAACAAATTTGAAACTATAAAAAAGAAACGGGAACAGGGCAGTACTTCACATACGTTAACAAGAACAGTTAATATTTGACTGTACGACACCTCTGATGCTAGATAAATAATGGATCTGACTTCGACCAAGTCGGTAAACATATTTTATCGGTATAAATAAACATATTTTATTGGTATAAAGTACCATATTTGTTTCGTATAAATATCCATATTGTATTGGTATAAATATTTTTATAGGCATGAATCACTATATTGTATGAGTATAAATAACCATACTTTAATAGTGTAAATAACCATTTGTTATAGGTATAAGCTATACATTAATGGTATAAATTAATATAATTATTTGATTGGTATAAATAACTCTATTTTTATTGGTATAAATAACTGTTTAATATTACAGCATTACCAACAGTCACTATCCCTGGTCCATCAACATACACACAGGATCTAGGAGAAGACGTAACTCTTCCTTGTACAGTTCAAGCTAATCCTCCAGCAACTAGAGTCATCTGGTCGAAAGGACCAATATCTCTGGTAGCCTTGAACGCTACTAAATATGGCGGTAGTAATACCACAGATCCCAGTTTAACCATATTTAATTTAGAATTATCAGACGCAGCGAGTTACCAATGTACAGCCCAAAATAATTATGGAACTGGTTTCAGCGATAGGACCATTACATTGATCATTAATTGTAAGATTTCATTTAAGTTTTTCTAGTTGCATATTTGATGTAGTTAACTTCCATATTTTATTTGAAATAGTATATGCTTGCAGATCCATTGTGATCCAGGTATACAACCAACAGTTCACAATAGTATCAGTGTTCTCCTTTTTACAAATGTACAGATTCGTATAGTCATAAACTATCTCTTTAGATATAGAACACAGACTTATTCAGTTCCTAGATCATCGGAGAAAATGGTGTCAACTTCGCTACGAGACAATGACGCTATAACCTGATTGGTTGACGTCTTGTTTATACGTCATACCGATTGACGTCCGGTCCAGGTCAATTCCTAACTAGAGTTCACTTTTGTCCCAAAAGGATTATGATTGGTATGCATATCGAAGCGTCTAGTGAAAGATTTACGCATTAAATGTCTGGTGAAATTTGCATGTCATGGCATACTACTTTTCATTTTTATGGTTTAAATATATCATTTTGGTTTTAATTTCGCGAAACGTATTTTGTTTTAGTGAATCGGGAAGATCCTAAAATTTCATTGATTAACTGTTTTTTTTTTTCTTTACAGATGCCCCATCTTTTATCACTGTGACACCACAAAGACAAACTATCACAGAAAGGAGTCGATTAACGTTAACATGTTCGTCAGATGGTCAACCTGCTCCTAGTTATAGCTGGACGAGCAATGGTAGAGAAGTGGGAACAGCTTCTACCTATACGATAATATCTGCTGGACCAGCAGACCATGCTAATTTTACTTGTAGAGCTTACAATACTAAGGGAGAACAATCAAATACTGTAGAAATTGTAGTTTTGTGTAAGTATACAATAATACTGTGATATTAAAAAATACTATAATATTAAAGTATTAAATCATACTATAATATTGTAGTGTTAAATCATACTATGAAAGTGTAGTGTTAAATCATATTATACCATGCTATAATACTCGTGAATTCATACTTTAGGATTATAGTATTGAATCATACTATACGAGTGTAGTATTAAATCATACTATATTATAGTAGTATTACATCATATTATACGATTCTAGTATAAATCATACTACACGAATGTAGTATTAAATCATACTATGCGATTTAAGTATTATAACATAAAACAAATTTCTAGTATTAAATCCCACTATACTAATGTAGTATTAAATCATATAAACGACTCTAGTATTAAATCCTAATATACAATTGTACAATTAAATTATACTACACTATTGTAGTATTAAATCATACTATACGATTGTATTAAGTCATAATATACGATTGTAGTATTAAATCATACTATGTGATTGTAGTATTAAATCGTACTATACAATTGTAGTATTAAATCATACTATGTGATTGCAGTATTAAATCATACTATCTGATTTTAGTATTAAATCGTACTATACGATTGTAGTATTAAATCGTATTATACAATTGTAGCATTAAATCATACCACGCGATTGTAGTATTGTAACATAAAATAATTATTATACCATTATGTATTTTAAATTGAATTTTGTATTTCAGATACGCCCGTGGTTACAATACCTCTGACATCTTACGGTGCTGACGAGGGACAATCAGTGACCATTCCATGCAACTTTACTTCCAATCCAGTGGCCACTGGTGTAGTGTGGTCAAAAGATGGTTCCAATTTAGACATCCCTGCTTCTGGTGGGAAGTATTCAGGAGGAACCACATTAGCCCCTTCCTTGACGATAACATCTCTGACTAGCGCGGATGCAGGAAGTTACATCTGTGGTGTGACAAATGCACAGGGAACTGGAACTGATACAACAACAGTCTCAATCGGCTGTAAGTTATATTGGACTTCAATCAATTAAAAAGAAGCAAATTCGGATCAAATTTAAAATCATTGGACTATCATGCTCAGCATGATTCTTCTTTTTCGTATCTTACAGAATTTGCAAAACCATATGTGCCAAATCGACCACACCGTTTAGAGAATATGCTGTCCGCGATTATGGATGGACGTATAATGATAGTGTTGCTCAGTTCAAATCTAGACTTAAAGGACAATATTGGTGTCAGCCATTATTACATGTGTGATAGAACTGGTTAAACACGTTCCAAATATAATTTTAACACACAGAAATCATTGCTGGAATAGATGCCCAAGAAAGATTTCAAGAAACGGAAGTGACGAAAGCAAATCGAAACACGAGTTATCCTTCTATATATATGTTATACGAGACTTTATAGGATCTGGAACGTGTTTAACCAAATATGAGATAATGGCTGACACTAACATTGTCCTTTAAGTCACATCAAGACATTATCCACTGTAGCCATTGACCTATTACAGCACATGGAGCATGCACCTTGGATGGATTAAGCGGTCTATAAATGCCAACTTCTGACAACCATTACAGACGTATATATTTATATCAATGAATCTGGGGCACGTTTCTTTCCTGGTTCAAAATTCGACTCTATTAATTGGAATTGAATCTTGCTGGTACAAACACTTCTTTCTTTGTCAGAAAATGTAATCTCCACAAATTATCAACGGTATAAGATTATCTCGAAAGAGTAATCATGGCCTATCTCCTACACGACACACATCACTGCTGACAGTTAACTGGCGTTTAGGTTTAGATTTCTATGAAGTCCAAGATAATAATTAGTGCAATAATACGTGGACGTTACCTTGGAAACGTGTTAAGGTACCTAGCGTGTTCATAACACAGAAGTACCAGGTGTTTCTAAAAGAGTAACAGAAGAATATTCTTTGACTCATTGATCTCTGTCATATAGATATTTTTTTTTTACATTTAGATGCTCCAGTGAGTGGAACTATCAGTAACCCCAGCCCTAGGCCTGTAGAGGGCAGTGCTGCTTCCTTGTCCTGTGCTGCCTCGGCGGCACCGGAACCAGTCTATAAGTGGTATAAAGATGGCGTAGAGATATTTACGGGGAAGGTTCTACAGTTATCTTCTGTCAGTGTGTCCGATACAGCGACATATACATGTATAGCCACCAACGATAAAGGTTCAACTAATGCGACTACGACACTTGATGTACTATGTAAGTCAATTGGTTTGTAGTATTGGTATTACGGGGTGGGTATATCGTATACAATGTATTAGATAAGGTTCCTAAAATCTCGATCCTGTATGTCTAGCAGCTTGCCATTGTATATCACAGCGGTGCGCATGCGTAATACGCGTTAACTGGTCTGAACAAAATGTAAAAAGTTTTGCAGTTATCCTAAAGTTGTATCATTACACTGAACTGAACATGTTTAATTAGTGATACTAGCTTAACAGTATCGTATGTAAAGACGTTACAGGCATTTGTTTTATAAACAATATTTTTACTCAGGATGTCTGAATGGGATTGGGGAACAGGCTTAGCCTATGTAAAACCCCTCTCCCTAAATAATATGCATACATCGTATTAAAACAAAAGAACGTTAAGGGCATTGATTACAAAATGAGCATGCAAGGTGAGAGTAATTAGATGAAATCGTAGCTAAAAAAACAAAATCATCCGAGATATCGCAACGTTTTAGCCACTTTCTCATAGCTGATCGTATATGAGAAAAGTTACCGAAAAGATCCTGAACCTGTTCTCCTCATATCCTAAATAGTTATGGGCACCGTATTAGGCAGACTTATTTATTTCTTTGAGAGTGCGGTGAGGAGCTTCAGTCCGTCAAAATGTTCCACCCTCTATATCCTGATTTTACCAGTTCTTCCGTCGAAGTGAATGCTTAACATCTGATCAAACCACACCCTAATTTGTGACGTCACAAAAAATCAACCCAAAAGTCCGGAAGTTAAAGGCAAGGAACCAATTTTCATAATTACTCTATTTCAGTATCCCTTGCTGTTGAGAAAGTGAGACCACTGGGGTTAAGCATTCAAGAGAACTATTTTTTATAGCTAAATTGCCTAATGCTGGATCTGATTGCTGCCTGTTCTTACGGGAAACTCATATAATGTATGCTGTTCCATCTCATTATTTTTCTTCCATCCTTTTCCACAGATACACCCCGATTAAGTTTTGAAGGTGATGTGAAATCTGTCGGAGGTGATGACGACGCAGTGATACCTCTAGTGATCAAATCTAACCCAGCACCTACACGTATCACTTGGTCTAAAGATGGTCTGCCCTTTGATCCTACAACCAATACCAGAATCAGTGGTGGAACCCCGGCTAACCCTCAATTAACTATCACCAATCTAGTACCCGGTGATAATGGCGTCTATCAGGCTGTTGTTGAGAACTCCATAGGCACAGTGAGAAGTCCGACAATAAACGTAACCGGAACTTGTAAGTTATACAATTAGCTCATCTGATTATTAACAATCGGCTGGATATACTTATTCCTTCTAGGACATCCATTTGAGCTGCTTCATCTAGAAGGGAGTAGGGAGACGAACTGTAATTTATTTACAATGGTCACGTTTGCAAGTTCGGTAAAACAACCTTTGGCACGAGAATGATATTTTCTCGCAACCACGTCTTCGTATTCCAACTGCTAAGGGTCTTGTGCGGCATTGCATGCCTTTTGAAACCCACAAGTGCAAACTCGGTTTGAAAACTCCCCAACGTTCTTCTCGGCGGTGAGAGCAATCCGTAATAATCCGGAAAAGTCATCCCAAGGATCTGCTTTGCAGTCAATCTCATGATCGAAATGAAATGAAATGAAATGGGGTTTAACGTTCTACTGTTCTGCTCCGACTGGGATTATGAAGACGAACTCATGATCGAACTGCTGCGTAAAACTTGTGGTTCTTTCCAATCGTATCAATATTTCTGATATTATTTTTATATAGTTGCGCCAAATACTGTAGTGATACGACCACCTAAAGTAACAACCAACGAGGGTCGTCCAGTGATTGCCGAGTGTTCGGCAAATGGCTCACCAACACCAACTTATGTCTGGTTTCGAGGCTCCACCAAATATTCTGTAGGGCCTATTTTAAGTATTACGTCAGTGACTTTTGCTGATAACTCCACCTTTACATGTAATGCTACAAATGCAGCTGGATCATCAACGGCTCTCGCTAGTATAGAGGTCTATTGTAAGTATATTTTTGATACTTACAGTGATATTAATCTGAAATGTTATTAGAACAATGTAATTAGTTTCCTTATTTGTATATTAAATGTATGTGATTGATATATACAGTGATAATATTAGTTTCCTTATTTGTATATTCAATGTATATGATTGATATTTACAGTGATAATATTAGTTTCCTTATTTGTATATTAAATGTATATGATGATAAAATGAGACGACAATCTGTGTTGAATATGTGGAAGGGTAATTGAGGGCGGGGGAGGGGGGATATCCCACACGCTGAGATAGACACCAAAATGATTACCCCTAGCCAGTCTGCCTGATCTACCATCTATCCATATCGCAATGACCTCCCCAAGAGGCCCATTCCCCCGTTAGGGCGCCATGTCGTATTTTAGTTATTCCTTCTTTTTACATGATCGTGTGACAAAATAAAAATGGTTTGTTACTCGACTTTGATGAAATTCGTACACTGGAATATATATTTGACCATTGATTACCATCTATTGTGTTTGATATTTTTGTATTCTTCATATAAGTGTTACATTATTGATTACGCGGCCATGTCGTCGAATAATGACGCCTGTTTTCGTTTCCACTGTCCCGGTTTGTGAAGAAAAGTATTATGATCCGCTTCTGCCCAGCTTTTTAAGGACACAGAATGTATTTTATAAGAAGTTTCAGTGCTTCTTGTGTTTTCAGGGGAGACAACGTCGTAGGAATGTGAATATGCCTTAATAACTGATCTGTTTACACTGGTTACCACCAGACGGCTTATTCTTTCGTCTCGTTATTTCAGACCAACCGAAAATAACATTTGGAGGAGCAGTGTATAAAAAGGAAGGAAGCAATGATGCCATCGTTCCTGTAGAAATTAACTCTCACCCAGCACCAATGGCATTAACCTGGTATAAGAACGGAGTTCCGTTTACCCCTTCCCCACCGAAATATAGTGGAGGCACCCCGAGTAAGCCCGAGTTAACCATCAAAGATCTGGATGTAACCGATGTTGGATTGTATTACGTTGAAGTACAGAACGACGTTGGGACCGCCAAAAGTGATAACATAAACGTCACAGGCCTCTGTAAGTGACAAATTATACAGCATTTTAGACTGAAGCTCGATAATGGTAGAAACGATTGGTTCAGAATCAAATAGAATGACGCTGGGGGGGGGGGGGCTGACAAGTTAAAATAGCGTCTAGTCAATCGGATGGAACAAAATAAAACCCCACCTGTATGCATGCATAGGGCTTCATTTATTTCTCTGATGAATTATTTGGTTAACGGTACTATTAATTTAAATAGCACCAGATACATTTAGTGTTATGGCGCGCAATCTGATTAAAACACGGATCCTATTTCGTTTCGTTTTTTATAGTTCAAAATTTCTTTTTACTTGTCTTTACTACACTAGAATCTGGAAGAGTTGTTATATTACAAGGAACGTCAACGCTGATTGATTAATCAATGTCTGACCTCATAGGATCAAAAGCCGCTCGTACGACCCCTAACACGACCTTCCAGTACAACTTATCAGATCTTCATGTAGTGTAGGCCATCGAAAGTATAAAAAAAACGAAACGAAATATAGATCAGTATTTTAATCAGATTACATGGCGCGCGCTTGTTGTTCTTTTCAACCATAATATTGTGAGTTAAAGATCGACATTAGATAATTAGACTACTGTGTATTAAGTGTATCTGGCCACTGGGCTGGACATCTGAAAGTAAAAAGTAAAAATGAAAGAAATAAAAAAAAATAAAAATTACTAGGAGAGGTGAATTGATTAAATGGTTATTGACCTTAATGTGAGTGTCATTGTTGTTTATCTTTTTGTTCCCTTTTTTGCCAGTCCCACCATCTAATGTGGTAGTCACACCATCGTCAATTAATGTACTAGAATTTGACAATGTTAGCATCGACTGTACAGCTACCGGGGAACCCACACCAACATTTAGCTGGAGTCGTGGTGGTGTACTTTATTCTAATGGACCACGACTGGCCATCGCATCAGTAACACCGGCTCATTGGGCTAACTTTACCTGTAACGCTGTCAACAATGCTGGAAGAGGCACGGCTGTTGCTCTTATAAACGTTTTGTGTAAGTATCATTCGGCTCATTCTGTCGGAAATACCTTGCTTTACGCTGCTGAACAAATTATGGACCAGCATCAGGGCTCGAAACGTCACTTCGTGTTCGTGTTCTTGGGGGCGATGCTCTTCAAAAAAAAACCTTAGGGCTCCGCGAATTCAAGTTTAAGTACGACCGACATAACACTTGCGCATCGATTGAAGGGCTTCGAGTTTTGATATGCCGTCCACAAAATTCCAAGATGATTGCGATTACGCCATGCACGGTTCCTGATTCATAGTACGTTTGTACTTGTTTTCTCTGGAATTTTTTTAACTTCACTAAGAAACAGTCAGACATGTGAATATATGTCATTGTTTCTGAAGGAGTAGAGGCCTAACTGACGTTTTGGTCGATAGACATCCGTAGCTATTTCACATGAATCGATTTAAACAAAACCCATTTCGTTTGCATTGTTTCTTACATGTTATGATGTTATGTACGTTTTTGTAATTTATTTTGATATCGTTACTTTAGTAGCCATTGTGTTAGCCGAGAAAGTTTCTCTGGATTTTCTAGAGTGGTTTCCCCATATCATTTGCACAGGACGCGGGACCTGGCAAGGAGGAGCTTTTAGTCTCTCGGATGTAATGAAAATCCGCGATCCTGTGTACACGTTGGTGTACATGTACACGTAAAAGTACCCCAGACAGTTGGAATTCAAGTCCCTGATAGCATAAGCCTACCGTATGACGTACGGACATGTTGGACTTAAACCTCATTTCATTTTCATTCATTTCATTTCATTCATTTCTTGCAGTTAAACCAGTTCATAACGTACCTCAAGATGGCGACAATACTGAATATGCAGCAGACGTGGGTGAAACAGTAAATATGACGTGTAACGTAAAGAGCAATCCCGCGCCGACGATCTATCGATGGTGGTTTAACCAAACTCAGTTACCTGAAACAACCTCCACTCTAACGGTGCTAGTTGATACAAAAAAGTATGGAACTTATACTTGTCGAGCTTTCAACCCTCAAGGTGAATCTGGTGACATTCGCATAACGCTGAAAGATAGAACAGAACCAGGTAAGAATAATTATTTTAAAAATATTTTAAAATATCACTTTTAGAGTTTATGGCAAATACAATCCCTAGTACTTTCATGTATCTTAGGCCTGCTTCCATGTACGTGTTTTCGCCCACGAAAAAATCCGTCTTATGCAAATGAAATGGGGTGGTTTCCATGTAAGCCTCCTCTTGCGCACTGAATAAAAAATTGCTCGAGCAGCGACTTCTTTACAGCTTTTCCGCAATTGTTTTCTCGCTTAGAGTGTGCACATGCGTGCCGAACCGGATGTTTACTTTCACGCGCACAAACACGGGATTCTTTCCTACTAAATAAATCACCAGCTCTTGTTGCTGCCAATTCAGCTTGCAAATGGCAGATTTTTTAGACATGAACGTTAAAAAATGTCGGGCTCCGTGCTGTCAAAAGCAATCCTCACATCTGTCTTCATTTACGTTAGGTTCCTCAAACTTTTCAGCGAATGTTCTGTACACACCGAAACACGTACATGGAAAGTTGACCTAAGATAAATAAGTATGGTTTAATGGTCGAGAGCGAGACATTAAGTAATATATTGAAACAACATGAGGGACTTAGTCCCGAGCTGTTGTTTCAATATATTACACAATGTCGTAAGCTCTTAAATAACTTAAAATACAGACACTCGCACATGCTTTGCAATGAAATAAGTCACGCGGGTCCAACATTTCAACTAGTATTGATAATGTACGCTTGGCACATTGCCCGTATCATTATTCGAAACAATAATGGTACGCCAACACCAAAGGATTACGTCACATCCACATTTTAAAGTAACAATAATTATGCTATAGCCCTCCACGAATTTTGTTTCATACATTGCATTATGTGATTTCGGTGTGCATTTCTTTATAGGACTATTTCTATGAGTTTAGTTTGTGCTCATAATACCCATAGAATCTTAATCCGTATTTAATTTCGAGGATTGATTTTAATAACAAAGTTATGACCATTTTAGAGTAGTCTTTATAATGCTATTGTCTATTCCATTGCAGGTACGGGCGCGTCAACAAGTGGCGGCTTGTCAACCACATATATAGTCTTGATTGTCCTTATAATTATTATCATACTGGTTATTATTATAATAGCTATAATATTCTGCTGTACTCAAGGTAAGCGTGCGTTGAATAAAGAATTATGACGTATACAACTAGTTGTAAATTCACGTCTATAGGACTGTTTGTCCGATAAGTGCGACAATAAATAAAGCCGCAATCCCCATGGTATGGGTTATCACGGAATAAAAGATATTTAGACATATCCAAGAGAAAACGTTCAACTTTTTGTTGGTACATGACAATGTACAATGTATTTGAATAAGTATTCGCAAATTAGTCTGCTTTAATATGAAACCAGTATATCTCACTATTACTTTGAACAGATCCTGCAGGACGTGCAACTCAATGCCGTCAAATAAATCCACTCAATGGATTTTTTTGAAAAGGCCACAGCGTTTTTAGTGGTCTAAGGTGCGCACTTTAAGGATTAAGTTCGCCCATCTAGGTTTTCTCCTGTTCCTCCCACAGCTAAAAAACCCTACACACAAGCGAATAATTAAAATAAAAATACATGTTAGTCTCTAAATAGTTTGTGGTGAGTTTACATTAAACCCCATTTTCTCCCCTGTATACTTTTTGGATATGATCTTCATGTTTGTTTATTTACTAGGATTATGCGCAGCCATATGTGGGAAAGGCAAGAAGAAATCTTCGAATGGTAAAGTAGAACCAGCACCAGTAATAGCACCTGCTACTAAAGTTAAACCTTCTCCATTTATCAGTAGTGGTTATACGTAAGTAGCATTAAAACCACTTTCAAAAGTATTGACATCTATTCTAACGGCTGTTAAAGAGGGTATTCAAAAATACTGTGACAAAATATACTCTCGTAGTGGTATAAATCAAATGTGGATATTGAAAAATTCCAAAGAATTACTTGATGGTTTGCAATCTAGATCCCTTGCTTCAGTCTCATCTATTCAAACGTTTGACTTTTCTACTTTGTACACTAAAATTCCCCATAGTAAATTAAAAGCCCGGTTGAAAGACATTATTCACAGTGTCTTTTCGTCTAAATCAGGTACTGCTAGATATTAATATTTACTTGTAAATTACAATTCCACATATATCGTTAAGAATCACAGTGATTCCAAAAACAAATTCACGGCCATCAAGATAATTCAGATGTTGGATTTTTTAATTGATAACATCTTTGTTGAATTTGGAGGGGAAATATATCAGCAACTGGTTGGCATCCCCATGGGCACCAACTGTGCACCTTTGCTTGCTGATCTATTTCTCTATTCTTACGAAGCCGATTACATACAGACGCTCGTAAAAACTAATAAACGATCAGTCAGACTTTTTAATTTCACTTATCGATATATCGATGACGTTTTATCACTTAATAATCTTAAATTTAGTGATTATGTAGAATTCATATATCCTGATGAGCTCGAAATTAAAAACACTACTGACAGTGACAATTACGCTTCCTACTTGGATCTGCGTCTCGATTTTGACAACTGCCATAAACTTAGTGTTAAATTGTACGATAAACGTGATGACTTTGACATTCCGATTGTTAACTTTCCATTTATTAGTAGTAACATTCCAATATCACCAGCTTGTGGAGTGTTTGTGTCTCAGCTAATTCGTTACGCGAGAGCTTGTTCCTTTTATTCTGATTCTTTAAGTAGATCGAGGCATTTGTCATTTAAGCTTCAACTACAAGGATACTTGCGCACTAAACTTATTAAAACCTTCATATTGATTTGATTGGTAAATATAACGTGTCTCTCTCGGCTATTATTCTAGATATATTAAATTGACACGTATACTATTACTATCTCCCTGATAATGTCTACTACATCGTTAACACAGTTCATCGCGTGCATTTTGCATTCCGATAGTTCATTGGCCAATCACGCTATTTTGCTTAGATTTCGTCTAATAGTTTGGATGCAGCTATGACGGGTGTGGCGCCAGGCAGGGTAAGCTTACTCTTCCGGACACCTGTTACCACTGTTTGTCGTGTATTTTGTACACGAGGAGCAGTCCATTTGCTGATTACACTATTTTGCTTGAATACACTATTTTGCCTATAACGTTTTTTAGGACTTCGAATTCTGTCTTATGGTTTGGATTGTTCGTACTTTGTTTTATTTTATTGGTGTCCAAGGTTGTGTGTTGTTTTATTCCAATATGTGATGGTTTGCAACGCACTTCACATGACAAATAATTAAATTGTAGAAGTCTTAGTTAATTAGGGATTTACCCCCAGGTGACTGTTAGCACACACCGAAAGTATACCGGGACAACATTTCATACAAAATACACCATAGGAAAAAAATCAATTCCCAAACTAAACAACAGGTCCTTACAGCAATTTCAGACTATTGCATCAGAAATATATCACAGACAAAACATGAAAGAGAAAAAGGGATTCCAAGACAATTACAAGTGGGCAATACAGCGAATACGGACGTGACCAACGTGGGGTATTCTCCGGATGTATCCACAACGGCCGCACAACCTGTATCGTCTTGTGTTGGGGGTGGGGTGGCTAAGTGGGTAAGACGCTGGCTCGCTATATAGCCTGGAGGTCGGGTGTTCGATCCCTGCATTGGCCGAGAAAGTTCATCCAGACTTTCCGGCGTGGTTCCGCCTTGTCGGTGAGGCAGGGCGGAGGGCCTGACAAGGACAGCTGTCTAGTCGTTTGAATTGTACGGAAAACAGAGGTCCTGTGTACAGATTGGCGTTCACGTAAAAGATCCCTTGACATTTGGAATTCGATATAAGAGTAGGCCGTAGTGCTACCGCTGTCCGGGCAAAATTTTCCTCGTAGCACACTGTATGGCGTATACCCGTCTTCATTAGCCCAGGTCGGAGCAGAATAGTAGGAGGTTAAACCCCATTTCATTTCATTTCTGTAGCATCTTGGTTTCAAACACTACATTATCAGTACAATGTTTTACCACAGCGGTAATACTTGCCTATCCTTTGTTGTTCCGTCTTCATTAGCCCAGGTTAGAAGCAGAACAGTAGGACGTTAAACCCCACTTCATTTCATTTCATTTCCTTTGTTGTATCATTGCGTAAAAGTAGACTGTGTTTGCAATTTGATTAAAATACAGATCCTATTTCGTTTCGTTTATTATAGTTCAAAATTTCGTTTTACTTGTCCTTACTATAATATAAAAAAACGAAACGAAATAGGATCTGTATTTTAATCAGATTGATTGTTTTTGTGTAATTGAACATCGACTGACTGATGACGTGCGATCTTTGTTTTATTTTTTACAGATCATCTGAATCAACAGTATCTAGACAAGATGTTTTAGTTACCGTGAATGGAACAGCTGGTGGAAGATCTAAATCAACTAGATTAAGGTATGTCATTATTATGGATGTTGTCCTATTATTAAATACACGCAGTTAAAGTCACTTATGAAATAATCCGTTGAGTGTGTATTTACACAGCGAGGGAGATGTATATTGATGCCCATTTATATTAAAAACAGCATGAACTTCATATTCTGTTGAGGTGATGACATATAAGTATATGTAGATTGATGCCCATTTTTTTTAAAAGATGCATGAGCTTGGTATTATGTTGGGTTTGTATTTACACAGGGAGAAAAATCGATGCCAGATGCCCATTTATATTAAAAGGTGCATGAACTTCATAATAATATTCTGTTGGGTTGGTAATTAAAGAGCGAGAAACATATATAGATTGATGGCTATTAAAAGTTGCATGAGCATGAAACTTCTTATAACTAGACTTAGTTATAACAGAGATCAAAATTCACAGATGTGAATGCTACGATGTCTTATAGTTTACACATACATGTACTCTGACCCGTTCACTTTGGTTGGACGTTTAAATGTTTGATCTTAGAGTATGAGTGTAAGTCCTGACGATTCGCATAATAAAATCTAAATCTAAATTTTAGTAATATTTTATTTTTAATGATTCTATGATCATAGTTGATCATACTGACATGTCACGCACTCACATAACTCTAACTCTAGGATGCAATGGCATTGTGTTGCAATAATTAAATCTAAATTTCTCAGGTATTCTAGGGGAATCTATGCAACAAATATAATCAGTAATATATTATTTCTAATACCATAATTATTCAAACAGGCATGATACACAACCACACAACTAAACGCAGGACTGTCAAAGCACCAGATTGGCATAACTAGATCTAAATTCTCAAATTTTCTATGGAGAACCAATGCAACAATTATTATCAATAATATTATAATTTTGAACAGTCTATAATCATAATAATTAAGCATACGGGCATGACACAAGAGAATCGTATTGGCATGTTTCACATAATCACTTGCATGTTATCACTGCTATAATTTTTGTATTTCACGTAGAATTGAGGAAGATGCACGTGACTTTGGTATACAAGGTACCGGTCCTATAATGTAAGTAGAATATACGCCCATATACTATAAAACACGGTGTGAATCTTTTACGTAATTTTTATTGAAGCAGAAAGTGCCCATGGTTGCATTAATCCCATAATGCTAGTTGCCAGGGTTTTTTTTATTGAAGTGGAAAGTGTCCATGGTTGAATTGATCCCATAATGCTAGTTGCCAGTTCGCAATCAAAATTCCCATAAACTATATAATGCAAGGGTAACTCATGCCAATAATTTGGAACGGACTTTGCACGGAGGAATATCTAGCTATTAAAACTCCAAGACATAAACGTGGATGTACCTATCAAACGTAAATGTCCGTTTCGTTTAATCCGTGTAGCATAAACAAAATATAGCCAAAACACTAGGCGTTTTTGTGAGTCGATTAGATTAGGTTTTGATTTGCTAGTACGATTTGGTATGATTTCGATTTGATTAGCTATGGTCCACAAATGTGAAATTTGATAATTACGATTTGGTAAGATGGCTGCCATCACGGACACCGATCAGAAAAAAAATTGTCTCTGCTAACATGACGAGGGGGGCGTGTGTTTCACGTGTAGTCCAAGTTACCTACAGATTACAGTGACACTGCTGGCACCCAGAGGGCCTAAAATTGCTTAGAGCCAGAGGTGATCTAACATTCTTGTGGACTATAAAGTTAACATTAAAGGAGCTAAATCGCTAACATTTGGGACCTAGAAATTGACAAAAGTGGGTCGCAATGCATATAATACTGTAATATGAATGTATATACACTGATTTACATTCAATGGTTTCCGTTTTTACTCCAATTTCAAATCCGTTATGTTCGGCGAAATAAGCCAGCAGTCTCAAGCGAGTGCAAATTTCTAGCGTCTGGTTATTCCAGTTTACATACGCCGTTTGATTTGGTGCAATGTGTCTAGCCTCGTCCTTCGAGTCTCTTGATACAACTAGGGCTGAAGCGCATTATGGTGCACGATTCGTATACCAATGGTAAAATGTTTATTTTGTCTTAAATATTGTATACCAAAAGCCCATCTTTTCCCGTTAAGATCACAACATGAATGTTGATATAATTTGACAAATAAATCGTGTTTTCAATGTTGAAGATTTTGGATGATATTGAGTTAGAGACTTAGCTACTTTAAACACATCAAATGCGTTTTAAAAAAAACATTTTTTATGGAGAAAAACAACAATAAGCATTAAAAATTACTTACGATGTCGAACATTCCGCCATTTTGAAAACGTCAAATCTAATCGCCTAAACACCTCCTGGGACGATTAGGTCGATTTGCCTAATCAGTTGAGTTAAATCGTCTCACAAATGTAACGATTAGCATAATCAACTTGGTTCACAAATGCGTATAATAGCTAATCGGTCTAATCTAATCGGTTCACAAAAACGCCTACTGTGTACACATTGGCTTGCACGTTGCAATTCAATTGTTGTCTGGACAATTCCACTCATAGCACATTGCAGTGCGTATGCCCGTCTTCACTAGCCTGGTTGGTGCAAAAAAAACCCAGGATGTTAAACCCCATTAAATTTATTTATCCTGTGTAGCATACATTGTAGTAATATCGCCTTAAACTATATTACAGCGTTATAATTACGTAGTATGTTTGTCAGGTAATCTACCCAGATTTTAAACCGCACTATTCATTGTCATATATTTCAATGATTCCAAATCTTAAACATTATTACCATCTTTGTCTTACAGTTCTATAATGGAAGGAGAAACAAAAACACCACGTCCACATCAGCTACCTCCATTGGGCTATGAGCCATCGTCGGAAACGCCGGTTAAAAAGATGAAAAGAAAGCGAAAACGGCGACCAAAACCGGAAGCGATAAATGAGAGTGAAAGTGCAGCCTTAACAGCGAATCAAGCCACAGAACGGACGTCGCCAAGCAGTGATGTTTAGTAAACTATTTTAAGACTCGAAAAGATTCACCAAAGTTTAGTGCTATATACGAAGAAGTCATTCGCAGTGATAGTTAATAATGGGAGACAACTCTATGTTTTTATTGTTTCCTATCTACGAATCAAAACCTTTAAAAAATGTCTTAACGGTTTGTAAGATTTATTCTACTCTGCACCAGGAAAGTAAGATGGTCGTGTAAAAGATACAGGGATCTGTGTCTCTCCCTCTGTCTGTCTCAGTCTGTCTGTCTCTGTCTGACTCTCTGTCTGCGCTCTCTCTCTCTGTCCCTCTGTCTGTCTCTCTCTCTCTCTAAAACAGGGGACAGCAAAGCTGATAAAAGTAAATGACGTCGTATTCAAAGTGATATAAATTGATACCAAATACTCCACTACTTATAAACTGTATATCTGTATATACTTCCAGAATATTTATTTATTTATTTTTCATTTTTTATAAACACTTTTAAATAGCATATTATATTTTTCAAACATTCAAATGTTCTGTGTTTATCGACTAGTTGTTTTATTTTAGAAAAAATCATTTGTTTATAACATGCTTTAAATATTGTTTACTCGATGTTGTTATATATAAAGTGCCTTTAAATGGATATTTAATGAAATAGTGCTCACACGTAGGCTAATGTGTAACCGATATTTTTAGATATACGCAACGGATGTACTATCGTCTCATTTCTGTATGTACATATTATTTCAATGTGGTTGTCTGTTCTTCATGCGTTTTTCTCTACACATTTTTTGTTATCATTCTAGAGACAACAGTTATTACTACTGGAGATTTGTTGAGAGATTTAATAGTGGCGTTAAAAATATTCAGCGCAATTTCTAGAGTTATCCCTCTTGATTACACAATTTTGCTTATTTCCACCGTATGATCTTTGCGATTTTCAGGGGAAAAAATGATGTAACGTCACACCGTAGAACATCCGGAAACCTCAAAAGTATAATTGGAATAAAATATTCCCTCAAGCAATGCGAATATCCATAGAAAGGGTAGACATATTGATCTACGCACTTGAAATCCGGGGATCGCAAAGGTACAAAAAAAAAAACATCGTGGCAATTTTCTGCAATTTTCGACGACTGAGTTCAGATAATTTATTGTGAGTCTTGGCCGATATATTCGTTGCATGGTAATCTATGTTTAATTTAAATATTTATTTTTTATTCTGTGATATATTTTAATATATTGTACACGTAAATATACGACATCATAGAACAATATAAAACATCCTGCACCACACCTACCACTAGTTGCTCTGTTATCCTTCCATATGACAAGTGATATCAGGTGTTTTGTAAGCATACCCAGCATCATGCACTACACCCACCACTTTATTTCCTAGTAAACGAGAAGTAGTGTCGGGTGTTGTTTTGTTTTCTTTTTTTTTTTAAAAAAAAAGGGCAAGGGTCACCACAATTTTCTTTTCTTTTATATTCCTACATTAAATCTATTGCCAACATATTTTAAATTTTAGGGTTTTTAATTTGGCAAATGACTGCTAGATAGAATTTGTGGTCTGCTTTGTTAATATTAAGAAAGCTATTCGGAACTATGAGAAATCGACGCACCACTCCAACTTATTTTTAAAAATAAATATATCCAATTTAACAACTGTATGCATATTAAGATATATTTATTTTAGTAGTGACATTTTGTTGGTTATATATAAATATATATTCACAGTTAAATTATGTTACAAATTGTATTATATAATGTCCATACTATTGAAATAAAAGTTTACAATAAAAATAATTGATAGTAGTTTCTAAAAAAAAAATGGGGGGGGGGAGAGAGAGAGAGAAATGGGGTTTAACGTCCACTGGGGACTAACACATTGTTCAATTTTGTCTTGAATAATTCGCTTGCAAGTAGGGGTCTTTAGCAGTGGGAGGAAACAGGAGGAATCGGAGAAAACCCACGAGGTTGGACAGGCGACCACACTCCTTGTCACGTACAACCGGGAAATCGAAACCACTCCAGTTTACTCAATGACAGACCTTTAAACTCAAAATATTGTGTCGTTTGGACTTGAACTTCAAAATCGCTTATCCCGACACGTAACCCTTTTAAGATTTCGGGTCAGTTTTTTCGTTGGGTCACCTGCTAATCTATTACCGTTCGTTTAGAGGTCTAAACAATGCGTTGTATGCATGTGTTGTACTTGATAACGAACGGAAAATTTCACCAACACATTATTTTTAGAAAATAATAGCCTGGTTTTATCCAGACACAGGGGCGGATTGGGTCATCGGGCGGTCGGGCGATCGCCCGGAGGGCCGGTCGGAAAACAATGAACAAAACTTATTTTGTCCAATTCGTCGAAAAAACTTTTTCTGCTGAACATCATATGGGGTGGGGGTGGGGGGGTATTGGACCGGCCATGGAGCGATGATGATCATGTTGTATGTGGCCGGTGGCTTTAACGGGCCGCCACGCCATCACTGGAGTCTGGAATGGGCTGGTATAATAGACTTTCTGGGCCGGGTGTGCTGGGTGTGCGCCGGAATTCGGAATCCTACATAATCTGACGATATGATAATTTCACAGGTTGTTTGTTGATAATTACTTGCAGGTCGGGGTTTTGGCCTAAATTAATTGATTTATGAGATATATTATTTGACAGAGATTATTATAATCAGATATGCCACCAAATCGCATATTTGGGGTTTATTTTTCAAAATTTTCCAGGGGGGGGGAGCCCCCAGACCCCCCGTCCGGGTTCCGCGGTCAGTAAAACGGGCCGCTCCCACACGGGAGCCCGGGCCGGTTCCTGGCCCCAATCCGCCCCTGTCTAGACACCGTATAATACAGCTTGGAACACCGGTCTCCATATCCAGAAGAAGACTGGCAGGTTTAAGTTGTTTGAAAACGTATCACGTATACTGAGTTAGTTGCTCGGCCCTAAGGTAGGTTTTTTTAAGGGCTTTTCACACAAAATTAAGCAGTTTTATTCTCCAAAATATGACCGAGATTGACCCTTTAAATTCACCCAAGTCCATTCACATTTTTGTTTTCAAATACACAATTATGAATAGAAACTATGATTAATTTCCTTATATATACCAAATGACTGATACCGCGAGTCCAGACTGATCCATGAATAAATTATTATTAAAGAGATTTGTATTAATAAAATCATAAAGGGAACGAATTATTGTAGAGAAACATCTATGTAGTCGCTAAAATGCCTAACGTTATGTTAGGTACCACATTTGCAAGGCCAATGGCAGTACCAGGAAATATACGGAAGGTGCTAATGGTAACGCTGTTTATCGAATTAAACAGAAATAACAATTGCTGGCCTCTGTGGACATCTTTTATGTGTATCGATTTTCACCCGACTGGGTCTCTAGGATCGACCTTCTGTCTGGTCCAGGAAGTGTTAAGTCATGACATCTGGGCTTGAAAATCAACTTCTCTATGTCGCGGTTTTTGATTCGCTGCACGGTTTGGCTCTGTTCTTTGATCTTGGTTCTCGAAGTTATCATATGTATTTGTTCACCGTCTTCATATGGTACCACTTGATGCTGGGAATAGTTTTGTCTTCATCACTACCAGATCGAGGGTGTCTATGGGGGAGGTGGTGGGGGGTAAACTGGACCAATGTCCCAGTTCTCACCACATTCTGGGTAGAGTAAACGATTCTGAATTGATACGATGTACTAAAAGTTTCTGATATAGTGAGTACTGGTCTTTAAAGTTGCAATTTCATATTTTTAAGTTATATTTTTTAAATGTATTAAAATAAAGCCTTAAAATAGATGGTATCTATAAACAGTCCTACCTTGTTAAAGAATAATCCTATTAATCCTATAATTCACTATTGCCAGTTGGCAAAAATATCATTTTCAACTTCAAATTCAAACGTTTGAAGATAGCTATTCCATGGGGGGGGGGAATAGAAAAACAAGGGAGGTAATTGTGTTATTATTTACGGGGTCAAGGATTTATAAGTAGGAGAATGATACCTATGAACGTATAATAGTAACTTGACAACCTATTGAGCAAAAGACATAGAAATAATTATGTTTTGACTTTCTTAGAAAATATGAAATTGTCGCTTTAAAAACGACTAGCTGGGATTTGTATCATGATTGACATTTGAAACTTATGTTCTATTACAGAAAGTTCAATATATAGATTTTATTTCGCTTGTATTTCTCGCTAATACTATACGGTACCTCAGAAAGCACCAAGTTGAATATATTTCTTCAAATTATTCCAGGGGGGGGGGGGTGTTCGCGTCACACTGGGTCCTATGTTTTTCTTACCCCATTGACTTGTCCCGGATCCCCAACAAGGTTAACCCGGTCCTGGTTTTAATGAACAACTATTTTGGGGTACGTCCAACTGTTATGTGTATAAACTTTTAATTTGGAATTTGTCGTTCATGTACATCTAGCAAAATTTTAATGCCAAACCGCAACACCGGGCTACACTAATATTAGAAGAACGGACATGTCATGTTTGTCAGCTTATGATCACTTATATATATTTTTACCATCTTTAATATAAGCGATTTCCAAATTCTCCTGAGAATTTCTTTCATTCTGACTCTTGGTTCGAGAAGATGCATTGTCTGTCAGTTTGTGTACACTTATCTATACTATTGTCATTTTTAATATATGCGTTTCTTAAATTCTCACAGGTCTTTACAAGGTAATTCGACCACGACTTCATTGCTATATCAAGTTATCAACTTAATTCGACATTAAGAGACTGAGAAATGAAGTTTTGATAATCCCAGCTGATTCAGTTGTCTGATATTATCATTGATTAACGGAATGTTTGAGCGGCCCTAAACGAGATATTGTCTCTTTTTATCAACATTCTATATTTTACATTATCATTTTTTGAAATAAAATTATCTTCGCCGTTTTAACTTTTTTGAAAAACAACAGCCACGTCGAATGTCACGGGAGTAATTACAGTGTGGTAGATTTTAGCTATATAAGGACTTGTTTTAACTCCCAGGAAACGTGAATTTTAACCATATTGAGTCTAAGACCATACACATGTGCACGTAAACATATTTGTCCCTATTTTTGAGCTATGGTTATAAGAAACCTTCGTTGGCTTCTTTTAACGTGAAGTCGTCTTCTTTGATTGAATAAAATAATAATTCTGAAAAATCCTTCCAAGCCAATCCAATTTTGTGTTGCCTGATTTAGATTCATTAAATTCCAACAAAATTTAAATTTTTTTCTATTTTCAACTTTTTAAGGATATCTCTAAAACCACTGATCATTATTTGAGGGATTTCGCATAGCTTTTCAACTAGAAGGCAATATCAGTACAAAATGATTAATTCCATTCAGTATGATGAACTGAAGATCTCCCGATATCTAAACCCCCTTGAGACAGGTCCAACTGCCAAGGCAATACCGTATTTTAACCTTTTTATATCTAACAAACGCCGCCATATTTTCTTTAAAATGGCGTTCCAGTTTGAAATGTTAACTAATCAATTTTAGTACATTTTAGCGTGTACGTAAAAGAAGTACAACAATGACTAATTCTTGTAAACCTATTAAATGTTCATTAAGGAAAGTAAGAAATCTGTCCGTTCAATTATCACCATTGAAACGTTTGATGAACAGGGTTGGAAGTAAGATATCATCAATAATTAATGTGGTATATCACGAACAGGTTAAAGGGTATCAGCTGGTCATTAAGATCTTAATCGCTGGTAAGAAGCTTTGACCATGGTTGCCTTTCATCCTTGCTCTTCAAACATACATACATTCTACATGTATAATGTAAAGATGTCTAACGTTAACTGTTACTATAAAACAGATGGGCAACTATGGAAGTCTGTATGCCTAAGTAACCGCGGTGACTCAGTTGTCAGGCTAATCTGGAGTTTCCATGTTCGATCCCAGTGTTCGCCGAGAAAGTTGCCCCTTGTCAGTGGTGTAGGACAGAGACCCATGTACACATTGACGTGCACGTAAAAGAACCCTTGGCAGTTGGAATTCGATATAAGAGTAGGCCGTAGTGCGCCTGTTCCTGCAAAATATCTCTCATAGCACACTGTACGGCGTATGACCGTCTTCATTAGCCCAGTTGAGGCAGAACAGTAGCACGTTAAACAACATTTCATTTGTTGTTTTTTCTCATATAGCTATCTCTACTCAGACGTTTAGGAGATACACTGGGCCTGACAGACCATACACAGTTATCTGATATTGATTGGGATGAGGAGATTAATGATTCGGTTTAGTTGCTAACACATGGGGATCATTAGCCCCAAAATTTTTTAACCATTTCTCAACGCACTTTTTGGACAAACCAAAGTTTGGATACTCTCTGCATGTTCAACAGGACCTCATTTTTACAGTATTGAGCGCATTTTGTTCTAAACATTTCCCCAACGATAACTCGTAGATTGAACCTTCGGTGCCAATTTACCACTAATCTAGTTTAATATTCCCCGGATTTTCTGTTAATTTTTTTTTTCAATTCTGTATAGCTATCAGTCAAAGCCGGGGCCTAAGGAAGAATAATTTGCAGTTTTGAGAACACTTTGGTCTAATAATTGCTTAAATTTTATCTCATATTAAAAACTCACATTAACGGCTTCGAAAGCTTCCTTAGTAACTAAATATTTATCATTCTACGACCAATAATGTTTTGGGGCCTTCGGCGCTCCCACTAAAAATAAACCCTATAGAATGTTGGCCACTTCGGTGCTCCTGTGAAAAAGCTTACAGTGGATGTCGGGGGGGGGGGGGGGGTGGGGGGGCACGTGC